TGTGTATGTGTATGTATATGCGCACGCACACGCGTGTGAGCGCCTGTGTGTGTATGCATGAAAAAGCTACTGTCAGCCTATGTGTTGATGAAATAGTATAAACCCAATGACCCAAATTGAATATATGCCGATATAATGATCGAGATTGAATATGAACTGATCAAACTATCACGATTGAATCTAAGTCGATCCAACTATCACCAAGTTTGTCTATGAAGAGTTGATCTAATTGTGTTAGTGTCCATAATTGATTTCTTTTGAGTAATACTAATTGATAGGGCCTCATTGGTAAGTGCTACAAGATCTCGTAAATCTCCCCAAATTTTTGTCTCATCATATCCATTCAAATTCCCAACTCTCTCTTTCTAACTTATTGGCTTCTTTTCTAAGTGGAATCCCCTAGTATATGAAAAAATGAAAATGTGCTTTCGTTGTTGTGGAATAAGAAACCTTCGTATCTTAATGCATTTATTTGATTTATTCGAAGCTATTAGAGAGGGATCCACTTTTAAATGAAATTGTCTCCAAGAAAAAAAATGTTTATTAGACCTAATATATTCAGTTTGATCTATATTTGTCTTCATTCTGCCCTTCATTCGAGTGCTTTTTTCTTCGCAAAACTGCCCGAGGCCTATAGTGTTTTCAATCCAATCATAGATGTTCGACTTATACATGGACCCGTGTCGGATATACCTGGTAGGTCCCAAGTCATATCCGGGTCCATTGCCACCCCTATCTATTCATCCCTTCAATAATTCCATATCAACTTTTTTAAAAAAAATCTAATTGTAAAAAAAATTGGATAAACAAATACTCTAGAGCCTTTAAAAAATGGAGGCAAAAATTATACCGGTCGCACACGGCCAAACGAAATGTTGCCCTTCATTATCTATCAATCATGATATATAAGCAATTTGCTTCTAATTTGGTAAGAATGAAATGTATATAATAAAACCATTTACTTTTGATAAAAAGATATAACAATCATAACAGCTAGATTTGAAATCAAGTAGTTGAAGATGTATCATTACTTAGACACAAAATCCAAAACAAAATTTATCAAATATTGCTCAAATATTGTGAATCACATCTTATGGCTAAAAATAATTGTAATATCTTTAAACTGACATCTTATGGCTAAAAATGATTGTAACATCTTTAAGCTGAAAATAAATGATCTCATGGTATATAAACCCAAGTAAGAAACTACAAAATATGTACCTGACAAAAAATATGTAGTCGAAAAGCAATCCCATTACATTTCATATTTCTTGGTTAGCTGGATGGACAATCCCCAAGTTTCAAACCACTGATCGGGCATCTGATGATGCCCTTGGAACAAAAGTATCAGATATATAAGGTTTCAATGAAACTTATATTTTTAAAATTTGATGAGAACAAGGCTCTCATACTAGAGAACCAGCTTTTCTACTCACAAATACTAAAGAACAACAAAATGTAGCACACAAGGATAACCATAGGAAAAAAAGTCAAAAACTCTCTTCTACTGACATTAGAGAGGCCTACATTTTTTCTTGAGTTATTCAATACATGCAGTATGGTGTGCAATCATATCAACCATCCATTCTCAATGACACACAGTAGAGATTAACTGTATCCCATGTGACCCACCTGGCTATGGTAAGTTTCAAGCGCCGGCCTGAGAACAGAGAGCCAATGCCCAGGCTGTGTACCTATATCATACACAAGCTCTGTATGATATCCCTTTGTCTTTTCCTTCTAGACAATTGTCGATTTGTTAAAAAACTGAAACCAGGAGATGGTGCAGGGGCAAGTACTAGCGGGATAACATCCACAATAACATAAGTCCGAGCACTTCACCACGAAAAATGAAAGCTGAAGAGAAAACGAGCACTTCAACACGAAAAATGAAAGCTGAAGAGAAAATGAGCACTTCAACACGAAAAATGAAAGCTGAAGAAAAAATCAAAAACTTCAAGTCCATTCCGAGCACTTCAACACAAAACATGAAAGCTGAAGAGAAAATAAGCACTTCAACACGAAAAATGAAAGCTGAAGAGAAAATAAAAAACTTCAAGTCCATTGCAAGTAATAGAGGGCATAATGATCATTTTGCAGTTTTAACCCAGGAAAAAAAACACATACCATTATTGATCATGAAAATGAACGATGAAGACTAGAGAAAAATAACAAAGATCAAGGGCACGTCCATAACCAAATTTATGGCCCAGATTTTATTACAGGGCAGCAAACGCCACAGAGTCAAGGGTCAATCAAATCTCTCAAAAATAAACAGTGGCTACAGCCAATGGCTCTCAAAACGAAAAAGGGGCTCTCAAAAAGAAAAAGAGGAGAAAATGGAAGTAGCAGATTTTTGGGCAGACAGTCGAAGCCCTAGAAATTCTCAAAGTTCACTGGGTCCCTGAGGAACTTCTCCATCTGCTTTGCCCTGGTCCTTATCGACATGTCAAAGACCTTTTGCGCAAATTCCACCACTATTCCTCCCATAATGCTCTGATCAATCTGCAAAATTGTAGAGGAGATGAAGGTGATGATTTTATCACCAACATGGGAGAAAAACGCGAGGAGAGTTAAATAAATTTCAAGGAAACCATGACTAGATTTGCATATGAAATCATCAATGGGACATTGATTTCCAAGTTCCGGTAAAGACAGTTCTTCTTTTAACTTGTTGCAGGGCTTGAACAAGGACAGAGATATCAACTCAACCAAAAAACAAACTCACAAACCATCAAATCCTTATTTGGAAGGGTACATCTTAAACTGCAGTTTTTAGAACTCTTTTAGGGTATGTTTGACGACCCTATCTTGAAATTTTAGGATATTGTAAAATCCACAATAATCTTGATCTTAAAAGATATTGAAAGGGCTCGTGACTTGTTTGATTGAACAAAACAATACCCTTTAAAATCTTAATAACCGTTAATTATCAGCATCCCACAAAATTCAAGTCTTAACTTGAATTTTGTGGGATTCAATTCTTCTATCGTTTTTTGGCTTCTGCTTCACGCCCACCCACACGAACCCTTGAAACCCCTCACATCTTACCATCTCTCTAGTCGACCTCTCTGAGACCCATTCCTCTCTCACCCTCACTCTCCTGTCTACCCAAACCCTATCCCTGAAAGCCTTAAAACCACCTCATTTTTCATAAAACTTCTCTCTTCAGAGGACACCAAATACTTCGCATCCTAGAGAGACAGCTTAGAGAGAGAGTCAGAATGGCGAAGTCTTGAGCCTCATAAGCCTCGTCGTTAGAGAGAGAGGCAAACAGGGTTCCAAAAAAAACTAGAGACAGAGTGAGAGAGATGATATTCTCTTTAGAGTGAGAAAGGGTGAAAAATTGAGGAAGAGGAAAGGGAGGCAAGGGTTTGGGAAAGAGAGGTGCAAAGAAGCATGAAACCAACCATTTATATGTTTGGCCAGAAGGGGAGGGGTTAAGTGTATCAGTGGCCTCATCCATGAAAACCCTATTTCGACATTTTCCTTGAGAACTTGTCAGAGAGCTGTTATCTCCACTGAGCACACGAGCATGAAGACTGTGATGGCCATGGTTGTGGTTTATGCTCTCAAGAGGTAGGGGAGGACCCTGTATAGGTTTGCGGGTTAGGATTTCTTCTATGGTTTTGAAGAGGAGAGGCATAGTGACTTTCTCTCCTTCTCTCTCTCTTTCCCTCTATGTTTCTCTTTCTATACATCTTTTGATTCTTTCTTTTCCTCTCTGTCATTACCTATTCTGTATCAATCTATGTTGAGTGAAGGTGAATGGTGCTGTTAATAGAGATTTGCTATGGAACAGGACATAGGAAATTTCCTCTGTTTTCTTTCTCTTGAATCAGCGTATATCCCAGGGTTCTCTATAGAAACTGATGTTGAGATGGCAAGTGGAAATGTCTCTCAAAAAGTAAGCCTCTGAGCGTCTCTCTCTCTCTGGCTTTTATTTTCACATTTTCCCCCTTCTCCCTGTTTAAAGCTCTGAAAGAACAGCGACTATCAATTTGCTTGTTTCAGGAGTGTGGAAAATTCTAAGATTTTTTAGTGCTTCTCTCTCTAAAATTTTATACCTGTGTTCTATTTTTAAAACTTGTCTTTCTCTCTCTAAAATTTCGTATACATGGCTGATGGAAATCAATCATCCCTCCCCTCTTTCATCTCTCCCTGTTGGAGCGCAACCTTCTCTCTCTAAAATTGGTTATGTTTCTCCTCTTCTGTTGTTCTTCACACAAATATCCTTTTTCGTGTTTCTCTCTCTAGAGTTGTACTTGTGCATTTACCTTTGTTAACCTTTCCATTAAAAATGATGAAATATAGGACGGCAATCAAACAGACAAAAACAACACATAGCAAGATAACATATAACCCAAATATATGAGAATCGATCAATGCTTTTCTTCAGATAACTCAAATCTTGAATATTAAAGATTCTATTTTATCAAACATGCCCTTAGCCATCTAGACGTTATAGTAAATTTGGAACCATAGCTGGATCGAGACTAGACACAGGAAGAAGGCAGTGATCAAGGAGAACTACATATCAAGTAGGAAAGAACATCTCTGTGTGTGCATGCATGCGTGCGCATGCACATGTGTGTGTGTGTGACAGAGAGAGAGAGAGAAAGAGAGGGATGAGGCCCATGAGAAGTGTCCTCTGTCTCACAATGTCATGGATCACATTCCTCAAAAACCGTATATAACCAACCCTCTGAAATAATTAGGTATTGAACATTTCATCCTTCTCCTAATATGCCAACTAGAAGTGCACAACCGTATCCTCAAAAAATCCAGTGAAAAATCAGTGAAAAGAATCTATTGAAACAAAGCACTATATATAAGCAACCCTGTATACAAGCAATTTGCATAGGGTATAGCTTGGAACAATATAGTCCCGCAAATAAAGGAATTAACCTATTAGGAAGCAAAGAGGCTTAAAATGATACATATCACCAAATCTCACCAGGTAAATAAAAAACATTAAGAAAGCTCACCAAGGAAAAGAATAATGCAATGCAATTATCATGGAGAATTAAGCATATGTAAGTATCATGAGGATGAGGCATAGATACTAATTTTGCAAATATAAAATCTAACCAAGAAAATTACTAATTAATATATTAATATTAGAAATATATTGTATCTGAAATAACCATTAACAGACATTCTAACAGAGAAACTGTGTACGACAACCACCAAAACAAAAACAAAAAGTAGAAATAACACAGAATATAATAAAATTGGTTCTAAATCAATAAATTCTAATAAGATAAAGAAAAACAAAAAAATCTACAAAAATAGTTAAGCAGATGTAACAAGGTAAATAAGCCCGGTCTTGTAAATCTAGAGAGCATTACCTTCTGCTCCAGCTTGACAGTCTTCCCATGCCCAATAACATCCTGCAAGGTCTCCTTCAGTTCTTTTTCCTCTTGCTCAGGAAGAGGCTGGGTAAAATAAATAAATATCATAAATAGCGATCGAGGAGAAGAATATGAATTCATGCCATAAAATATTCATTTCTGAGATACCACTAATAAGCTCCATTTACAAAATTGCCAACAATTTGACAGTAGAAGACATTCCAATCATATGCTGAACATTTGAACGTAAGCATTATAAATTACAAATGGTCACATTAGAAGATAAGTACTGCATGCTGACATAAGAAAGGAAGGTTGACATTTCTCAATATACATATACATCACCATTCAAATTACCTACAAAATATTTCCAACCATTAATAAAAGGCAAACATACTTGCAATGAACAAAGAAAGGTATGATACTATTTTAAAGGCAACTCGAATCGAGGCTGAAAATTTGAAAGTTAATGATCTTTATTCATAGGTAGTGGAATTTTGAGTGATTTAAATCTATGCTAAACTTCAGTAACTAACACAATAGTTAACCACAAAATCCAACTCCAAATAAGATTGCTTGTTTAAAAGAAGATTCTTCTTTGCATAGGGCCTTCGGTGGTTCTATTTGCAGCGGCATAATCTATCGGTACCATAGTTATTAAATGCAGTTGTATAACTCATTGTAGACACATCAGAGCCAAGCGGCGCTTAGCCATCCCACATATAGCCAGCCTATGTGGGCTAACTAGATGTGCTCGCATAGGTGGTGCATACATGGGAAAAACCATAATCCCCTTCCCCGAGACTCCACGCCCAACCCAACCCTGAAAAGAGGGCCTCCCTCCCTCATTGGGGCCGGAAGTCTCTTTGAACCAATATTTGTTGGTTCTAAAGGGATTAAACTTAAAATTTGAAAACAAAATTACCGATTCTGAAGTATTCAACAAGGTAGATTTTTTGGGTGAAACTTTGAGTTGATATTGTGCTGTGCTTCAAAGATTTTCCGCAAAGATTATCAAGCAATTGAGGGTATCAAGGGAAAATTAAACCAAGATGTCGAAATTTCATATAATTTTGGATTTGATATCAAAACCAAAATCAGTTTTGGGTGTAGCTATCCTTTTTATTTTTTATGTCATGAACTTTTGGTCTTTGGATGTTACGTACTTGTGGAGTACTTTAGACTCTCTAGTATTTGGCATTTTGGCTATATGCTACAATGTACTTAGTTGCTAGATGCTAATTTACGTTTTAGGTGCTTTATTGTAATAACACATATTCTTTGGTGTTTTATTTAATTTAATGGATGGATTGGATCAATTTATTTTACATTTTAATTGTACTAGTCATTAGAGAATGAAGACAAAAAGTCTCAATTACCCTCTGTAAGTGACTCAAACAACAAATAAATTAGAGATAAAATACTAAATTTACTAAATTAGAGATAAAATACTAAATTTACTATCACATGGATAATATATTCATATCTTTCTTTGTATTCTTTTATTTTTTCTAATTTTGAAAAATTATTGACTGTTTTGGAAGTGGTTTTCCACACATGGCTGCATTGAGGCGGATAGCGAATCAAGTCTACACCCCATGCAGTTGATAAGCTTAACTAATACAATGATTTGCTGACTTTGGAACAGTGAAAATAGAGAGAAAATAGAGTTGAGTGACAAGAGAATTTCAGCAAAACAAGAACACACCATAAGATTGAAACAAAAGAGAGAACCAACCAACAATGTGTGCGCTCGAAAGATGTTTTTCCTTTGCTACTTATATGAAAAAAGGCTAAATTTTGAGCCTCCCAAATGAAGGCCTCATATCCCCTTATATATACAAGTAAATAAATAAACACATAAAGATAAACCCCTTCCCTAAACTGTAAACTTCCTGACAAAGATTCACGTCCTTCTGGGAATCACAAGCCTAACACATTTCCCACTTTCTCCTAGCCTAGCATGTGCATCCCTCATCAAAACCCCACAATTCTAGGACTCCCACGTGAATCCCAAATAATAAGGAAATATAAAACAAGAAATAGCCTTATAGATAATTAAAAAAATTTCAAAATGCATGAAGCACCCAGACTGGAAATGTCAACAAGAACTTATGTTCGTTGATGAAGGCTGCATCAATCTCCCCTTACTTTGAGAGAACTTGTCCTTGAGGTTGGCACCACATCCTTGTAGAAATTCTTCGCAAATTGATGGTGTAGTCCTACTACTAAGCTCTGAGAGTCAGTCTATAAGAAGACCTGGGAACCAGTAAGCTTATCCAACATAACATGCAGTCCAAGTATGGGAAACCTATAGTTGACTGTTACTTTGTTAAAAACACAACTGTCCATACACATCCTCCACGACCCTACATACACATCCTCCACGACCCATACTTCATGGTGTCAGAAGAGCCAACACAACACTTGGGCTCATGATTAAGGGTGGCAACAGGACGGGGACGGGACAGGACGAGACGGTCCAGGCCAACTTTGGCCCTTGGCCCTGGCCCAGCCCTTGTCCCCCCATAGGGCTGGCCCTGGCCTTGCTAGGGACGAACCGTGCCAGGTCATGCCAAACTGGGTTGGGACTGGCCTGGCCCGGCCATTGGGCCACAGTCCATGGCCCAGGCACTACTTTTTTGGGGCCGAACCGACCGTGGCTGGACCGGGCCGACTGGGGCATTGCTATCCCTACTCATGATCTCACGACCCAGGCCCTTTTTAGTTAAGTCTTGCACTTGCCTCTTCAACTCTTCATGCTCAAGTGGACTCATGATATGCAGCTTGGTTTGGAGGACTAGCACCAGCTACCAAATCAATGCAATGTTGGATATTTCACAGCCGTGGCAACTCACCAGGCAACTCTTGGAGCATAATGTCCTTACTCTCAGTTATCAAGGGCTTCATCTCCCCAAGCAACTCTTCAGTCCCTTCAAATCCCATTAACCACAAGCGCAAAAACCAATCCAGTATTTTCACTCTTTTATAGGAATGCTCTAGTAGTCAAAACAATTAGTTGGTTTCACAACCCCCTTCTCAGGCACCAACCCCTCCTTCATAGGATGCAAGTGAACTTAAACCCATTATGCATAAAACTGTAGGTATTCTTCCTAGCATTATGCATCAGATTGTCATTGTACAACCAAGGACACCAAAGCAACGAGTTACAAGCATCCACTGGAATGACATCACACCACATCACATCTTATAGGTTTTGCAACAAAATAGTTAACTCGACAACGAGAATTAATAAGAGTTTCATACTTCGCTTTAACCATGACATTGTATGGTGAAAGACACTTATTGCTCTTCAAATCCAACTTGTCGACAAACTTAATACAGACGACATTCTCACAATTACCAGCATCAATGATCACTATACACACCGTTCCATCTAAGGTGCAGTTCATGCAAAAGATACTAGTTTGAAGGCAATCCTCATCACCTTTATCACAAAAAAAAAAAAAAAGAGAAAAAAAGAAGTCATTCTTCATCATCTTCACTATGTGGGGTCAGCATAACATGAGATTCTGAAATCTCAGAAATCAAGTTTCCAACTTATGTGGAACTAATATTTGCACCAGTTTGGAATCAAGATTATAACATATCTGGAATCGAGTTTCTGATGTATGTGGAACCGAGATTCATACCGGTTCGGAATCGGGATTCATATTAGTTTAGAATAGAACTTTATCCCAACTGGCAATCAAGATTTGTGACTCTATGGAGTCGAGTATGAAGCCCCATAGAAATAAGTTTCCTATATCAACGGCATCTTGTGCTTTATCAACTTATGAACCATTTAAGCAATCGATATCAAATGTCTCTTATTAGACTTGTACAAGGTTCCTTGCATTTGAAGTCAATTTACTGATTATTAAACTTAGGGTCAACTAGTCCACTAGGGAAATTATCTACAAAAGATACAAATGCTATCCCATGTATTCTAAATTATGATATGGACTTCATTATTTTACAGACAAAATAGGATTTTCTCTGTGCCATGGTATTTTTTGTACGTGTTGTAGTTACCAATTATACTTTAAAGCAAAGGTAGTCCATCCCAGCACTAATAAAAATGTGATACAAGCCAGTCCTAGCACTATTAGAAGCATTCACACTATTAGAAGCATTCGAATAAAATGAAGATTTCTACTCCAATTACCTTTAAAAGTGGTAACTATTCAGGAAGTTGGACATTATGTACTTCAAATTGTTTTCTTTGTTATTTTATTTATTTATTTTTGCTTGCGTTCACGTTATGCCATTGTGCTAGGGGAGAAATTCAGTCTAAATATCAAGCACACACATGGATACATTATTGCATAAGTAAAAACCAACACGTGGGTAGAGAGAGATTTTGACATCAAACAGGAATGTTATGTAGGTCAGAGCAAATTTCCATGTCAATTGAAGCGCAGTTTCCTGCTCCTACAAACCAAGGTATTTTATGTTATAGATTCTAGATTCAAAACCATAACGAATCAAGATCCATCACATGTGGAATCGAGAATTAATAGACCTGGAATCAAGATTCAATAAATGTTGGAATTGAGATTCGAGAAATTTGGGGTCGTGATTCCACAAATAATGGGATCGAGATTCCTAAAAAGGTATGAAACGAGATTCCTAACTTATGGAATCTAGACTCTAACTTCCAAGAAACAGTGTGAAGATCCCTTGTCAGAATCGCCGAATTGGGATTGCGGACTGAAATCATGACCTTGGCATAAAGATTCAGGTAATTATGTGTGAGATTCACCCTCATAGTAGCGACGTCCTCTTGCTATACATCTTCATGTATTCAATCTCCTAAAACTAATCGACCCCCGACCCACCATCATTACTCGATGAAATTAAAACGGGGCCCATGCTTCTTCTTTGAACACTCTTGAGAACGATGCCCACTCTCCCTTGAAGCAACTGACACAAGTGTCATTAGCACCTCAACAAGGACGCATAAATGATTCCCCTTGGCGCCATGCATGAGTGCCTCACCATTGATTAAGGTTTCGTCCACTCGAACCACGTCCTTGGCTGGGGACTGTGAGCCCACACCCCGTTCTGGAGCTTCTACCCCGATCTCCAAATCCTCACCCTGTCATTGTTCTCTAAACTTCCTCGCCACATTTAATCCCAACTGATATACCTCATCTACACTCCAAACCTTTTAAATAATCAATTCATCTTGAATTTGTATGTGCAAATCCTTAAGACATCAAGCCACAAGCCGCTCCTCCAGCTCCACCAAATCAGTCCACATGCACAACTCAAAACATTCCTCAATGTATACCATAGTATCATTTCACATTGCCCCAAATTAGGATAACATTGATATGATAATCTGGGTATACTCATTGGAAGAGATTTTTCTTTTAAGTTAGTCTCCACTTTGTTCCAAGTATGAATTTCACACTTACCTTGTCTGTGTTCCATAACACTCCTTTCTTTTTAAGGAAAAAGTTCATATAAGTTTGAGGCCCTAAACAATCAAACTCAGGCGCACCTCAAAAGTTCACTAGAAAAAGTTTTTTCGATGCCGGAAAACCCCTCAAATCTGATCATCTCAACCTTGAGATACACGGATGTAAAAAAAATGCGCTTCGAGTCTTGAAATAGTGCATCTTGTAATGCATTATCTAAACCATCAATTTTCAAGATTTTCAAGTGTTCATAGATCTGCTTGATATACATACTTTTTGAAACTTTAAATTTTCCAATTAGAGATGAAAATAAATTTTCACACCATCATAAAGATTTTCGGTACTGAAATGACATCTTTCGATATTATTTGAAGGTTAGGGCCTCAGCCTTATACAAACCACATCCTTCTTTTAATGTGAAGTCGATTCGCCCAAATTGAAGCATGCCCCCTCAATTTGGTATTCACGGACTTGACTTTTCTCCGACTGTTCTTTCCAGTCAAAGAACTTCTCTAAGCTCGAGTTAATAAAGAAATTCTTCAGATCCAATTGTCCTAAAAAATCAGCAACATCTAGCGATACCCATGAGATCTCATTTCACAAGAGCATCTTCCCCATCTTGATTGTGGAAAGGATTTACATCGTCAGACTGCAGAACTTCTCCTGAATCAACATCCAAATCACAAACAGGTTGATCAGGTCATTCTCAACGCAGGGCCTGAAGTTCTCGCATCAGTTGATCTATTTCTCTTTGTAGCTCTTGGATCATGTCAAGTTGAGCTCGATTGTGCCTTCCTCCTCTACCATGTCCACTAGTTGCCATGGCGGATCAGTAACCTTCTCTGATACAACATCGGTGATGCAACAATAGAAAGAACATGGAGTCGTAAGAGAAAAAAAAAAAAACTCAGCCACAAACATCCAAAACAAGAACACACCGCAAAATTGAAACAACAGAGAAAACCAGTCAAATATGTATATGTTTGTCAAGGGAAACATGTTTTTTTAATTTTCTTCTTCATTGAAAAAAGTCTAAATTTACAACAGCCTATGTGAAGGCCTCCTATCCCATTCATATTAATAAATAAATAAATACATTAAGAGAAGACCCTTTCTTAAACTAGTGAACTTCGCAATATAGACTCGCATCCCTCAAATCACATGCCAAATCCAATTCCCAGTTCCTCCTCGTGTAGTATGTGCATCCCTCTTCAAAACCCCGCAATTCTAGGACTCCCACATGAATCCCAATTAGTAAGGTAATATAACACAAGGAAAATGGCAATTCTACCCCTTGACAATTAAATAATACCCAAAAAATCTAATTAGTCCCAAAATTCATCACCATTTTAGGTTAGGGAAAAGTTTATATAGAGCCGAGGCTCCAAACAAACAAATTTGAGCCTACCTCAAAAATTTCACTAGAAGAGGTTGTTTTGATGCCCAAATATCTTCAAATTGATCATCTTGACATCAAGATGCATGGACATGAGAAAAAATAGATTTCAAGTTTTGGAAATAGTGCATTTTGTAACGCATTTTTCGACCGTCAATTTTCAAGATTTTCAAGTTTTCATAGATATGTCTATCTACACCATTTTTAAAGTTTTAAAGTTTATAAATAAATATGAAAATATATTTTAAGGCTATCACAAAGATTTCTAATATTGAAACCACATTTCTCGATATTATTTGAAGGTAGGCTCTAATTTGATTGTTTAGAGCCTAGGCTCTATACACCCTTTAGGTTAACTTTCTCAAAAACAATTTATCACCACTTTCATGCCTATATGTTAGATTAAGAATTCAGGCCTAAAAATAGCGAAATTATGCAGAAATGGCCTTCATAGATAACTAAAAGAACTTCGAAATGCATTATGAAGCTACCACCCAGATCGGAGACATGGATGAAAAGTTATGCTCCTCAAACGACAACTGCATCAGACTTCTACGAAATTCAGAAGCACCACTTGCATTTCATCTTTCTATAAAGCATGTCAATTAACAATCCTTGTCCAAAACATCTACAAACCAAACATAATGACTATGAAACTACCTATTGAATACAAGGCCACTAAACAGGCCCCGTCTTGGCTACGCAGGTGTCCTTCATTGGAAGCAAACCTGCAAACCACCTCTTGAGGATCAAGAGCCGCCCAAAGCGCCCAAAAAAGAACATATGTGGGAAATCTGAAATTCAAAAAACAGAATGCCTTTATACATCAGGTACTCCCAACTTAGGCTATTTGCCACAATTTGCCAATTTGCAATTCTGCAACTCCAGCCCAGAGTTAAAAAACTACCTGCCATGCACCTGCCTAAGTTTCAGAAAATGTGCCAGCTTGTGCACCATTCAAGATGAAACTAGTATAGGGCACCACTCACCCAAAAAAACTAGTATAGAGCACCATGTACAAAAAAATCTCCAACTCCTATCACACAATTTCCACCCAATAAAACCTCCCCCTGTCTTTTCTTAATATTTCAATATCCATAAGTTGATGAGACAGAATAATTCCATTTTTCTTGGGTAGGTTAGCAGTAGTATTAAACAAGTCACTGGAATCATATTTAACCAACATTCATTTATGCAACACATAATTGAATTTCCTATTTTTTTTTCTAATTTATAACAAAAATTTCATTGACTATGCAACATTTACAAGTATAGCAAGTATATCCATGTGCATGTATCACTGTACCTCTGTCTCTAAATTACATTTCCTAACTTCAGTTAATATTAGGGGTGCATTACTCTATTGGATTATCTTGCACATATTTGAATTTCTGATGAAACATTGTCAAACACATCATTTTCCCTCTTTGTTATCCCTCTTTGTTTAAACACTTTGTAATCATAAATGCTAATTAACTATAGTCATATGCTTTTAAAAATCCCAACGTAAAACACAATTCTCATTGTCATGTAATATTTCACTGGTAAACATGATACCCGTGGTAATACAAACCAAAGCACAAGCTATTTACAAACAAGAAAGATTGCAAAGATACAATTTGAAAATAAACTGAAGATTGATCAATCAAAACCAGCCATATAATCTACAAACATAACCTAAAAAAGAAGAGAATGGCCATGTATTTAGCAATTAAAAAGGCACATGCATACGAAGCTCACTAACAAAAATTTAGGTCAGGAATTCAAATTCCAAACCACTATTTTCATTGTCGTAATTCGATATTTCTATCAATCAAAGCTCAATCTGAACTGATGCAGAAACATAAGGATTCTCTTAAAGGAGAAGGAACAAAGGACTTACAATAACGGTTGTAACAACTGCCTTGACCTCCCCTCTATATGCCATGGTCAATTCAGTGAAGCATTTCACGATCTTCTCAATCAGTCCCAACCTTCGATTCTGAGCCGCCACAGCTTGAATCACGTAAACAAATCAATCACAACGATTTATAAGTTGCATGCAGCATAGTTACCAAACAAAGGAAAAGAAAAATTGCAATTCAACATGAACTTTTCAGAAAGGAAATATAACGCGTCAAATAATTGTTGGGAAAATGGAAGTCACAGAGATAAAACATTTGGAAATGCATAACAACGAAACCAATAGTGTAAAGTACACCAGGATCCAATTACATAAGCACAATAAAGAGACGCATGTTCCATGATACTGAACAAAGAAAAAGTTCGAAATACAGAGAAAAAATCTTAGATATTTTTTTCCTTCTAAGTTCTTTCATGTGAAAGAAATGTGCATTATCAACTTGTAATCTTGGTACAAACCGCTGGAGATATATACACGGATCTGCGAAACAAAAATGGTATGAAAAGACAAAAATATAATCGGAATAAAAAATAAAAAACAGATAGAGATCACAAGGAAAGGAACATGGCACTGATAACTTGTAAATGAGATCCCATGTTATCGTTATTCAACCGATTGGCTTCCTTCATTTTCGTCCTTAATAATGTGGTGGAGAGTGACCCTGGTGACAGAGATACATCCATCACCCTACTAGCATCTTGTTGGACAGACAATTTATCAACAAATAACTCCACTTACTTCCCCACCCACTTACTATCCTCTGCTTTTAAAGAAAACACCTCACCCTAACCCCCACCCAGTCCCATAGAAGCCTAAATAATAAAGGAAAAGTATACAATGAGACCATTATCTTTGGTACAAGGTGGTCACAATTAATCTTGACAATTGGATGTGAAATTAGATGGCTGCATTTTTTCCATTGACCAAGCTCAAACTTCAAAAGTAATGTTCTCGAACTTTGTGACACACTCAAGCTATCAGATTTCACATCAGATGGTTGTAAGTAATTGAAACCCCTTTGTATCAAAGGTAAATGGTCTCATTGTATACAATGCCAATAAATAAATAGACCTTGTTTTTTCCTCATTTCCACACGAATCATTCTGTGATGGAGACCATCCAAACGGGGCTTAGGTCAGTCAAACTCCATGGAAAACCAGCCTGTTGGTGTGCCCATGTTATGGCATTCAACAAGTCACTTTCAAATAGATGCTACCAGAAAGAGGTGGGGTGGGAAAAAATTTTAATCAAAAGCTTTTGCACCGTTCATAGGAATATCCATGAGGGAGTTGACCATGACTTCTAAAAACTTATTCAGGCTTATTGTGACTCAACTCAGCAAGCCCCTTTTTCCACTAAATAAATAAATAAAACTTGTCATTATACAGCCACAAGTTATACCAATTTCCTTATCTTCCTATTGTCATCCAGGTCCTCTCAAGAAAAATTCAGTCTGTCTGGGTCACTTGGCCCATTGATAGCCACCAGAGTCCAATGGAAGGCATGCTTCAAATTTTCTAACTTGACCAACATTGAGAACTTCCTCAATAATGCTCAAGCATTTTCAATGCTTCCCCACGTCATTTAATAATGAGAAGCCATAAATTCTACCAATACAGGAAATATGATACCAACAGTGTTTGCTTCAGTATTATCGTTTCAAATATCCAATGGAAGAAAAGATTCCCATTCAAATGCTACGAGTTACGACTAGTTACCCAAAAGAGATATATAAACGGGAAACTATAGTAAAAGTTCACTATCACTAAAAGGCAAATTACATATGACTCATACCCAAAAAGTTCTTTGTAATTTCGGAAAACCCAGCTTCAGAGGCTATCTCTTGTACAGCTTTCACTTTGGTCTCTGCAGGAACTGAAGGATCCTTGATGAACTGTGAAAACAGAGGACTTTTCTTGGAAGCTTCAACAAGGTTAAGGATATCAGATTCAACTTTGTCCAAGCAATTAGATTTTGCAGCTGCAGAAAACAGCGCAGTGGCATACTTTCCAGGCACTCCAAACAGAACCAGAGGTACCTGAAACATAAAAGGACAATAACAAGTGAAATGCACACAAGTACAATGAGATACAATTTCAGATTGACACAGGCTCAAATGATTTCTTTCCCAGGACACTGCAAACTTAAACTCTCAAACAAAATCCTAAAACAGTTCCATAAACATATTGAAGTCTGACCATGGAACAAGTAAAATCCTATCCATAAACATATTGAAGTCTGACCATGCGAGTGAACAAGTTGGACTTAAAAGAATCACAGAATAATGCCTGGAACCATTGTGTTACTTATCCAAAAAAAAAAAATTTAAAACAAATATCACTGATTTAGTTAACGCAACAGAGTTATTTAAGAGCGTTTGGGAGAAATAATCATACAAAGTATCTGATAATTCATAGTTAGCACAATATGTGTGCCATAAGAGAAAAGACATGCCCTGAGAATAAAAAGTTTTATTTGGAAAAGGGTCAGCAGTTATAAATCACTGTGAGGTGACTAGAATACCTAAAATATCTTCAGATAAATGACAGGTGAGATGTAGGTAATTATCATACAGAATCCTTGGGTACATCATTATGTGTCTATTACAATGAGAAAAGCACCATCCATCATGAATACTGGAAAGGTATAGGCAGATGTTTCAAGATAAGCCTGCCGGTAATGCTTTCAAAGAAGCGGTTGCAGTTGGGTGCTTAAAAACATCAACACCAATACACAGTAAACATGAAATTTTCAGAAGGGAAAGGCTCGCATCTAATAAGGCGAATGCTAGATGCAGAATCCACTATTATTGTAAGATTGAACAAAAAGATTACCAGATTACAGATTTTCCAATCTCATCATTTCAATAAGCCCTTGATCATTTCAATAAACCAATCCAAGTGCTCTTATTTGGACAGCAACCAATACATACATCGCTACAAACAGTGGACATACTTCGTTTTTTTGACAAAAATTGCATGCATCCTAACTAAATGAGATTTTTGTCTTTTGTCAGTTCTTACGATTAACACTTAACTAGGCAAGACTAAAGTTTTACAGAAAAGGCAAGAAAATTCCAACCACAATCAACATTGGATATACCCTGAAAGTGGCAAGGCTGCCTCCTGAATTTACCGAATGGTTGACAGCATTTAGATATTGAAAAATTGAGCAGAGTGAGGTAGTGTGTAAAGGTATGGGATTGTTGTGGATGTAGTTTGCATAGAGAAACTATCCATAAAGAGACTACTTTACGAATTAAAGATGAAAGCAGTACCTCTCAACATCTTTCCAAAAAAAAAATTATCCATGCCTTCTTCAGCTCATACAAAAAAATTATCCATGCCTTCTTCAGCTCATCCAAGAGCATACTCTCACAAATATGGATTCTCACACCAACTGCTTGAAGAGTCCCAATCATCACAATCATCATCATCATCAAGCCTTATCCCAATTATTTGGGGTCGGCTACATGAAAACTATTCTTCCATTCCTCTCTATCAAGGGGCATACCCTCAATCAGACCAAAAGTCACCATATCTTTTCTCATTACTACTATCCATGTCCTTTTGAGTGTTCCCCTTGCCCTTTGAGAGCCATCCAATTGAACCAAATAAAGTCCTAAATTGCACCTCCTAACCGGTGCTATATTATGCCTATGCTAAACATGGTCATCCCACCTTTGTCTACTCTCCCACGTATTATCGCCTATCAAAGCCACAACTAAGTTCTCTCGTATGTATTCATTTTGAATTCTATCCTTGCTTGTCTTGCCACTCATCCATCTCAACTCCTCATCTCAGCTACGCTCATCCTATGGATACGTTGTTTCTTGACCACCCAACATTTATCACATAAAGTATGGCTGGTCTTATAACCGTCCTATAGAACTTCCCCTTCAGTATCAATGGTAAGCGGTGATCATATAAAGCTCTAGTGAATATCTCCACTTCGCCACCCAACTCTAATTCTATGTGCGACATCTTCCTCAATCTCTCCATTCTCTTGGATTATCGACCCTAGATCTTAGAAATGATCTCTTTAGGTGCTTGAAGAGTCCCAATAAGGGATCAAATTCTCCACAATGTGATAAGAATTGAAGCAATGCCCACAACAGGAAACAAATATTGCTTGACTAAAACAATATAAAAGATTGGGTGAAAAGGCTGAGGCAATTGTACAATGATAGTCTACACTATAAGCAACTAGTTGTTTTCTTTTGTATGTCCCTAGATTTTCAGAGGACCCAAGAAGAAGCCATGAGAGCCCCAAGTCATGCGAGTGACCGCTCCAAGTAAGAATGCCAGGAGTTGGCAATTGTCAAGGGTCACTAAATCTCCATATAAATTAGGTAACATGTTCAATAAGCAACAGCCTCAGTTCACTAAATCTTTCAACTACAGGAGAATTGCAGTGGTAATAGGAATACGAAAGAGAGACTTTTTATTAGAAAATACAAGGATTTTGAATCCAAGTCGACAATCTGGCATACGGACTCCTCAACCAATAAGAAGTACCGGAAGTTTAAGACTTTCAAGCATCTTAGTCTACTCTAGCATAAGTTACACAAATGACTCAATGGGTGGTCATTAAACCTAAAGTTATCACAAACTCAAATTCAAGGTAGCATATCACAAGTGAATATGACAGATTGCTTCAAGTCTAAGAGCACTTCTATTCATTCCTAGATATTCCAAAATGGAGATGAAATCTTAGATTACTAAAGAAATGTAATAGGATGGCAAACTACTAGGTTCAGCTCATATCAAAATGCATTAAACATTCCACTCAAAGGTAATTGCAGCACTTTATGTTATCCTCATTCCAGTAAGTCCTGTAAGGTCATCAAATGTTGACAAAAGATTTGTAACACTTCAAGAAACACACACACCTTGCCCCATCAACCCACAATAAACCTGCCTCAAGAAACACAGCCACATTGCTACATCGACCCACAGTAGACCAGGCCTAGTTTACCATGATTTTAAACAATGGCCATATTAGCATGCTTTTATGTAATCAAATGGTAAATCAAACTGGAAACTCAGTATGGTAGCATGGAAACATGCAAGATGAATCCACCTGAGTTGAGAATTGAACCTTGTAAATATTCTTGTGATTCCAATTGGAAAATGTTCAAAAATTTACTAACGCAGGCCAGTTGAATGTTGTGTATTCCTTCCATGGTTTATAAATTTCTAGTAAATCCACACAGAAGACTTAAAATACATTAACAAAAGTGGATAAATTATGGTAATCATAACCAATTCACTATGAAATTCTTATAAACAACCACACTTATAATAGACAATTGTCAGTTTATTAAATAATCTCTTCAAAAAGGTCATATCCATATTTTTAGAAAGTTTTCCTCTCTAAAAAATGTTGATTAGGAACTCCATGGACGTACACTTCATGCTCCAAATCTATTATTCAGGGCAGTCAGGTACTCCTCAAATAAATTTATAAATAAAATAATAAATTAATGCAGCGTGCATTGAAAATCTAGACTTCAAAAATAAAATTAAAACTCATGGCATAGAAAAGCTTATCTTTGACAAGTTTGCAATATAAGCAAGTGAACAAATATTTTCACCTTGACTTCTGGTTCCTTAGTGTGTATTTCCTTCGTATAATTCCTTGATTGCTGAAAGAAGAAAAAATCAGAATAAAATGAGCGTAAATCGTATATAATTGTCTAAAACAACCACCCCATAATGCACTGCAACAAATACCTAAAAGAATAAATATATACATAAAAAAAGATGCAAAAAATATTCTAATTCACAAATAAAATTGGACAATGGATACTTTCTGGTAAAAATAGAACGAAATATCATAATGCATACTAAAAGATAAATACTTTTTAAAATTCCAATATAGCAGCTCATATCAAGAATCAAGACAACATTGAAATTTATACAATGAGATCAAGTCATGAATGGGATCTCATTAATGCCCATAATAATCTAATCTAAGTAAAATGCAACAGAAATCACGATTGAAAATATGAATCTGCACAAGAACCAAAATGATCATGAGAAAGGGAACCCAGTCAAACCCTACATTAATACCATAAAAAATTACTCATGAAAACATAGCACAGATAAAAATCCTGGATTACCTGAAAGTGGGAATAAATAGGGTTACATGAGCTCCCAACAGGGCTCAGTGTCTCTGCAAATTGAGGAGTAGTATTTAGGGTTTTCCGGATCAAAGAAAAACCCGCCCTAATACGACTTGCCATGGCCATTAGTTGAGCTTTCAGAAATGGCGAACTACCAAAATGCCCTAAAATACCAGAGTTTATACTGGGCTCGATGGAGTACCAGCAGGTCTTTTGCTTTGAAAAAATTGACAAATATTTCCTAGAAAATGACGTATATGTCATACCCGTCCTTCGGTACAAATGCGAACAGTATGATCATACGTTTATCACCGTTCTAAGGACGGATCTAATTTGATGGTGTGAGAGAAGTCAGTACATTTTGGATTAGTATGTATCTCTTGGGAGTTTCTACACAATCACTGTCTAAATTAACGATTTGACGGTGACGGCGCCCTAGGCCTTGGTATTTTGCAAGTACGTGGGGTTATAAATAGTTAGGGCATGTTTGGGTACATGGATTTTAAAGCATGCATTCTGAATGTAATATCTCGGATTTAAAGACTAATGATCTTATAAGTCTTTTTCAAACTCATGTGTGTAGGACCTCTAAATATCACCATTAAATATGGCATCAATTTTTAAAAAAGTTATGATAAGAGATTTGACTTTTCTAAAGATGTGTGACATATTGAATGGTAATCATTTAAAGTCGTACACATATGAGTGTAAGCAGGTCTCATAGGATCATTACTAAGATATTTCGAAATCAAAATCATATAAATAAGACTTACTTTTTCATGATTTCATTTCCCTACCACAATCTCTTTTTTTGCATTTCCAAGGCATATTATTAGCTCCCTTGACTCAAAACATAGAGAGCATTAGGTAGGTATGAAAATTTTAGAGAGGCACGGTACCTAAATTTTTTAAAACGATAAATTACCTCAAAAATTTTAGAGATAAAAACTATCTTAAATTTTAACTTTGAGCTAGTGAAAGTTTTTTTAAAGAGATAAATTATCTCAAAAATTTTAGAAATAAAAACTATCTTAAATTTTAACTTTGAGATAGTGAAAGTATGTTAAAAATTAGAGAGGTAAAGTACAAATTTTTTTTAAAGAGATAAACTATTTTAAAATTTTAGGGAGATAAACTATCTCAAATTTTAACTTTAAGAGAGATAAAATATGTTAAAATTTTAGAAAGATAAAGTTCAAAAAAATTAGAGAGATAAATTGTTTCAAAATTTTTTTGAGAGAAACTATCTCAAATTTTAAGTTTTAGAGAGAAACTATCACATTTTAGTGAGAGAAAGTATGCGCAAATTTCTAGAGAGAGAAACTATCTCAATTTTTTAGAGAGAGAAACAATCTCATATTTTAATTTTTAGATAAAGAAACGATATCAAATTTTAGAAAGTACATAAAAAGTTTTAGAAATATAAACTATCTCAAAAAAATTTAGAGAAAGAAACTATAACAAATCTTAAGTTTTAGAGAGAGAAAGTATTCTTAAAATTGTAGAGAGATAAGGTATTCTTAGACGTTTAGATAAAACTATTATAAAGTTTAGAAAGAAAAATGGGCAAAAAAAAAATTAGAGATAAATATCTCGTTTTTTAGAGAGATAAACTATATCGAATTTTGAGTTTTAGAGAAAAACTATCTCGAATTTTGAATTCCAGAAAGAGAAAATATATTAAAATTTTAGAAATATAAATTATAGCAAATTTTAGAGAGAGAAACTACCTAAAAAATTTTAGAGAAAAACTATCGTAAAATTTATGTTCTAGAGAGAAAATATATTAATTTTTTCTAGAGATAAACTATATCAAATTTTAAATAGAAAACGTACATGAAATTTTTAGAGAAAAACTATCTCAATAAACTTTAGAGAGAGAAATTATTTCAAAATTTAAGTTTTAGAGAAAGAAAGTATCTCAAATTTTAAACTTTAGAGAGAGAAAGTACATAAAACTTTAGAGAGACACTATATCAAATTTTGAATAGATAAACTATCTTAAACTTGAAGTTTTAGAGAGAGAAAGCATATTAAATTTTAATCAAGTAACTATATCAAATTTTAGAGAGATAAAGTGCATAAAAAATTTTAGAAAATGAAACTATTGCAAAAATTTTAGAGAGAAATTATCTTAAATTTTAGCTTTTAGAAAGAAAAAGTATCTTAAAATTTGAAAGAAAAATTATATCATATTTTAGAGAGAGAAACTATCTGAAAACTATTAAAGATGGGAACTATCTCAAGTTTTAAATTTGAGTATCTCAAAATTTTAGAAAGATAAACTATATTATATTTTAGAGAGAGTAAACCATCTAAAAATTGTAAAGAGAGAAATTATCTCAAAATTTTACATAGACAATTTCAAATTTTAAATTTTGGATAAAAAGTATATTAAATTTTAGAGAGACAAACCATATCAAATTTTAGAGAGAGAAACTATCTCAAATTTTAGAGAGAGAAATTGTATCAAGTTTTGTTACCAATGGACATAGAAGTGGTTTCAAGGAATCCATGAATTTTGTATAGTTTATCCAAATAAGAGATTTAAGAAATCCATAATAAAAATCCTTAATATTGAAAATCCATAGATTTTTCTGGATTTTAAATATCTAAAATTTCTAATTTCCTCCTATCCAAACAGACCCTTAGAGAAAAAATGGGATTTGCAATTTACGAGACTTATGGATGGAAAAGTGTGGTCATATGGACGGGACTCTTCTACTAATAGATGGAACCAGTGTTTTAAAAGATGGATAGTGGATCAGCCGCGTATTGATTCCAATTTGGATCATTTAGATTGGTGATCCAAATTGTTTGGATCAACAATCCCATAAAATCAACCAAAAAAACAAAAGTTTGATATAAAAAAATAGGGATTTTCTACAAATAGACTATGTACCTTTGGAAAAGTTTGTATAGCTGAGGCTCTAAACAATCAAATTTGAGCCTACATCAAAAATTTCACTATAAGATGTTGTTTTGATGCCCCAGTATCTTGAAATTGATCATCTCGACATCAAGATGCATGGACACGATAAAGAAATGGATTTCAAGTTTTAAAAATAGTGTATTTTGTATTGTATTTTTAGACCGTCAATTTTCAAGATTTTAAAGTTTTCATAGATCTATCGATATACAGTATTTTTTAAGCTTTAAACTTTATAAATAAATATAAAAATATATTTTAAAACTATAACAAAGATTTCTAGTAGTGAAACCACATTTCTCAACATTATTGGTAGGCTCTAATTTGATTGTTTAGAGCCTAGGCTCTATACAAACCGCACCCTTTATCTTTTGAATAGACCAAAGTTTCAAAAAAAACAAATCTCGGACTTTGTGATTCACGCAAAACCATCCAATTTAATATCTAGTAAGTGAAAATGATTGTGATATCTATATACAAAGTATAAACGGTCCTTTTTTAGACAAACCTTATAAAATAATGTAAGGGCATTATAACAAGTATTTAAAGTAGCATATTCAGCGATATTGTAGCTTTTAACCCTCAACACTTATTAAAAAGTGTGAAAATTATCCAAATATCCATGAGAGATTGAAGTATCTAACATTCTACCAGTATATTTTGATTTAATTTAAAAAACACCCATCAAACGACATGTGATCATAAGTTGAAATAGTCGCCATTGCATAAAACGTTAAATAGAACATCTTTTATGGGTATTTTGATAAATTTCTCTTAAAAAATAAAAGAAGCCTTACCACTTAGAGCCACAAAAGTTTATTTCATAATGGTATATAATATTTATATTGAATTACTGATTTTGATAAGGAATCCAAATGGTTTTGAGTGATTCTAGATCTATATCAGACTACTTTTTACCAATTATTTAATGGAAAAGGTTTCTATACTTTCCCTACAGCATAGAAGATCTATACTTCCCCTACCGTCCAGCCGTCCAATTTTGATAAAGAGAGCCACTCACCGTTTGATCTTAAATCTGACGTCTCAAAGTATTTTTATTTTTAGTTTTGTTTATACAATTTATATGAATATAAAATTTAGACGTGACATCTTCTCATTGAGGCATGCCTATTAAAAAATATTTAAAATAATTTTTTGATAAAATAGAATGACCAAAATACCCCTTAAAAATTTCAAAGGTATTTTGGTCATTTTATTTTATTGAAAATATTATTTTATATTTTTGCTAGTGCTAGTTTAATAGAGGATTGGATGTACAAAATTTGGTATCAAAATAGTTTATAGAAAAAAATAAAAAATAAAATAGTATAGAGACGTAACATTATGATTGGGGCAATTTTAGCCCTCTATTCAAAATAGACGGTTGGATAAGGGGAAGTATATGAGTTTTTTGTTGTAGGAGAAGCATAGAAAGCTTGCCTTTATTTAATCATTGGGTTGGATAGTGATAGTGTAGAAGCAGTCTTTATACATCAAGTAGATGACTTGTTTGGTTGGTTGTGATGACCCCTTATGCCGTGCTATTTCTCAAGCTAAAATATCAACATTTCTCATGCTAAAGTGTCGACAAGGGGTTGCCTTCTTTACGAAATCACTAAAAGGTTCAAAACATCACATATTACATTTGAGATTTTCTTTTAAATTTCTATTTCAATCGGTACGCCTTTAAAGAAAAAAAATAGAGGTCCCAAATTGTCGTGTTGGATGTTGGGAAGTCCAAAGAATTTGGGGCACTTCAGTAATTTTATAGGAAAATTATTCCGTACCCCTTATCTTTTGCAGCCCGTTTCTTAAGAGGCCCAAGGTTCTAAGCTATTTAGGGCGGCATGAGGTTTTTTACTTTTCTATCTTTCAACCCCATAAAATCTTTTAACCGTATGTTATAGACCTAAACAATATATAAAATGACTCCCTTTTTTATCAAAATCTAACCTCCCGCATCTCTCTCTAAACTCTGTCTTTCTCTCTCTCACACCCAAAGGTAGTGGGTTTCTACAACTCTCCCCATCGTCTCTCTCTCTCTCCTCGCTCTCTTTCTAAACATGTCTCTCCCTCTCAAAACTCTGCCTCTCTCTTACCCCTATCTCTGTCCAAATCCAAATTGTGAAGATTTCACAAGCTACTATTATATATACAGAGACTAGAGATTGTAAGTCCATTGATTGCTCCAAACTGGATTCGTGCCTCAGCTCTTGAGCTTTCACCAGTGGCTCACCATGGGTTCAATTTGATATGGGGCTTTAGTGTAGACCCAGGTTTTGGATACTTGGTTAGGCTCC